CTGCTTGTGGCAACCCGGAAGAACCCCGCACTTCACCTTCGGTCGAACGGAGTACGTCCGACTGTGATTTGCACGAAAAACCCGAGAGAGCACTGCTAGGTTTTCTGGTGATTTCAAAGGACCTTCAGTTAAGAGTCCCTTCTCCGTCCCTTTGAAGGCAGTGAAAGAAACGCTATGTTTCAGAATGGGGTGGGTCACACGAGCTTTGGATCTCCCTTCCAGCTGCGGGATGAGCTCAAGGTGAGTCTCGAGGACCTCTACAATGGCGGCGGCCGACAAGCTGCTTGGCGTACCTCTCGATGTACTGAGTGCCTGAGAAAAATGAACACCCAAGACAGGCTGTCTTGCACATGCAGCATGATATAGTATGATGATGTATGATGTATAATGATGTATATATATATATAATATAAATGTATGCTAACCGCCCGGTACCTAGGATTCAGGCACAGACTGCGCAATTTTGCAGCACTCAAAGATAGGATGAGGCGTCTCATTGCCGTATGAGCCCCATATCATCATAGTAGAGTTGTGTCCCTGTTTACCTCATACCATGCTTGGCAATATTATGTAGAATCCTTGTCCTAGTAACATCCGCAGTGCAGCAAACTTGCATCTATATAAGCAAATCCGTGAAACAACACTAAAGCACAACAACATCACTAAAAGATCTAAAAGGCAGCCTTTACTCCTTTATGCAAATAGGTTCATTTAGTAAAGCCTTCATCTTTGCAAGAGTGTGTTTGTTTGTAGAAAACTATGTTTCTCAATCGGCATGTGAGACATTTTTTCGAGCTATATTATTTCATTCAATGTTACCCTGGTGATGCCATTTTGGTGCAAAGACCGACCTGCAAGCAAAAACAAATGGACTTGAAACCCACTTCTTTCAAAGAAAAACACATGGTTACCTTCAAGGATTCTTTTGTGAGCTTCATACAAGTTCAAAGGAGTTCATGTCTCTCAAACATGGTGTAGCTGGAAGTGTCTGCTTGCCCACCCAGGAAGATCTTGTTTCTCAACGTGTTCAATTCCATACAAAATGCGGAGTGTTTTTCACAAAGAAAGCGTTTTCAATTAGAAGACACCTGCTCCCAAATAAAACCACCTGTTTTTCGAATAGTTGCATGCTTGTAAATCGTGTGTGTCAAGCTGCAATAATGCGCCCACAGGCAGGAAGTTTCTTGCTCAGAAGCAGGTATGCAATTCTACAGAAAAAGGCTAGCAGGAACACGCTTCTCTTGATACAGATGGCAGTGAGCAAAGTGAGCAAAACAAAACACCAAGCCTTTGTTTGGGCTGCACTGTATCGTAGGATTGTTTGTTGTGCATGTTTTTTGTTTTGGAGAAGTATGTGTTCTTTGTTTGACTCGTTTGAAATCTTTGGTTCGGCATATGCTTGTCGAAATGGTCAGATGTGAGAGCACTATGATTTATTGTTGAACATGGTGATATGCCTTCATGTGTGGTACCTTCCCCCTGGGTAGTTGTGCAAGTGCTTCATTTCCGGCAAACCTAGGTATCTGGGGGGACCATATATTATGTATATATATATATGACACAGACACACGCACACATAATCACACACACACACACACATGTGGCCCCACATCAAATAAACCTCGGGATATAGAGCCAATAACAATGAATTCAGACTTATCAAACCCCCAAAGAGACAAACACCAAAAACTATGATCCAGTCTAGGCCAGACCAAGGCTTCGTTCATATGAGGTAGTTGTCACAAGTGGAGTGCACATGAAATATTGTGCTTTGCCTTCTTCTATTTAATTTGTCCTACTCCTCATAACTCGACTTCATATATTAGCTAAACTTATAAACGACAAAAGAACATCAGGATGTTTTTAGCAGGGCAATCGAAGAAGAGGAGCTGAGCTAACCACAAATTCAGCACACTGACCAAGGAGGGAAAAGGCATTAATTGAGAAGAGGCGCACCTAATTAAAAACTGGCAGCGGCTCTACTAGGGGTGGTGGGTAAGAGTAGGAGCAGTCATTCCTCTCGCATGTGATCCAACTCCTTTAGTTTTGTTGAACTTGGGAACAAGCAAACCCTGCAAACTCTGACAACTACTAGAAAAGAACAGTCTGTTTAGGCTACGAAGAGTTTCCTGAGGGGATAGGAAACATGCTATGTATTTTTATGTTCAACGATATTTGACACATATATATAATATGGAACAGTAGAAACCTACTGTCTGGAGCAATAGACAGAAGAGTCTAACTAACGGCAGTACTGGAGACAAAAACGCCAAGAAGGAAAACACCCACTGATTAAGTAGGGAAAGATGCTAATTGACGAGCTCTATTTGCCACAGGCAAAACGCAGTCCAAATGTCGCAGACGTATTTGCTTTTTGACTTTAGCTTCCACCTTGTCCAAAACCAAGAAACATACACGACAACAGGAACGCCAAAGGAAGCATTGTTTGCATGAGTAGAAGCTAATCAATTCTCTTGATTCTGGTTTAGTTTAGTATTTTTTAAAGCTTTTCTACTCTATTTTGCTTTAAAGATCTTAATGTTCTTGATTTCTTTGGTGCTAAATTTTCACCCCACATGTGATATAGAAAAGTTAAGATAGGCACATACAACGTATTGGAGCAATAGACAACTATGAAAAACCTGTTGAGACTGGAAAGACCTTGTAGGGAAGAGTGTTGGGGGGAGACGGGAGTTGTATAAATGTACGATCTTGTAAATCAATTGTGTCAGGAGTGAAATAGTCGAATAAGAGCTTACCAAAGGCTTACCAATAGTTGACAAAACGCCAACAAGGACAGAGCCACTGCTTAAGTAAGTGTATGGCTAAGTTCAGTAGGGGAATGGCCACCAAGGAAGAAAGCAACTACAAAACAAACCAAACATACACATACAAAAAATGAAGCAACAATTAGTAAAACACTGGATTGATTTGGTCCACATCATAATCATCGTTTTCTTTTTTTGCTTGGTTGTTTATTTTTGGTTGGGCAGGCTGTCACATAGTAAGAGCTGAGGCTCAACCCTCAGCTTGTACAAAAATCATCAACGATTGCAGTGTTTGTACCCAATCTTTCTCTTGGCCCTCTGAATCTCATTGGTGGGGTAAGAGCTGGATCGCCCCCGCCCTTTTGAGACACAGGAACATGGGAAAGACCTGGGAGCCAAAAGACATGGAGATTGATTGGGAACGTTTGGCGGATTTCTTCAAGATTTGTGGACCAGTCGGCCTGGCAGAGTTTCGACATGCCCATGAAGTCGTGAACCGCTGAACGTAACAAAGACGCGCCCGGTTCAGGCCGTTCACGGCGACTCGAAGCGTCGTTGGGGCTGCGGTCAAACTTCTATATAGGGCTGCACCCAGAGGCGACGGACCCACACCAACTGGTACATGTCGGTTCTGTGCAAAACCCTAGTTGTGAGGGTCAAAACCCTAGTTATGAGGATCCAATCCAATTTCAATGCAATCCAATCCATGTGTTTTTTGTTTTGTTTTCCTTGGTTGTTTCTTGCAAATCTCCGATCTATGTCATGGCCACCCTCGGAGGCCCTCAGGAAAAGAGCATACCAGGCCCTCATGGCTTGGTCGTTTTCGGTGTCGACCGAGGCTGAGATCCAGCGACGGGTCGTGTGCCGGGGGTGTCGGGCCTGGGCGCACAGTGAAGCGTAGTGAAGAGAGGTCGTTGAAGTCCCAGGTAGGTGGTGTGGCAAGCGTTTACATTACATTTGGTGGTCCCCAAATAGATATTGGCACGGATTCCAATGCATTCTCAGTGGGGATCTACGAACTTCTATCTCTTTGGGGGTCTCTCTCTATATATATGATTATATGTATATATACACATACCAGTGACCAGAACCTCTATTATATACATTATATATAAGGAAGGCGGCTTGGCCATGGCGAGTCTTTCGATTCTGAATCACTTTGGGTTGTCTTGCTGAATTGTGGGAGGGGGATACTGCACAGCGTAGCCAGCGTAACAGTAGAACATGTGCTGTGAGCCTTTTGCACAGAGAGTTTCTGCAGAGTTTGTCGGTTTGTCCCAGCACATTGCAAATTCACAAGGACAAATGTTTGAAAGGAGTAGGGGCGTGTGTTGGTTGGTGCCTTTCTTGAAGTTCACAGGGTGTTGCAAATGGAATCAATATTTTCATCCCCAGACACCGAAAAGCCCTCACACACACATGACCGCCATACACTGCCGAAAAACAACTCGCATGGGGGGACTTGCCCAACTTGCTGGATTTGCTCCGCGCACTCCCAGGTGAAACCGGATTCCCCCAAATGTCAAGGCTGTGGCCGCTGCCGGCCTCCCAGCGGAGTAGAGGGCTGGACATTATGTAGAGGGCTGGACAAGCGCTGCCGTTGTGTAGACTTGGAATTGGCCAGCCGGAAAAGCAACGCCTTGACATGTCTTAATATGCAATTGGATGCAATTGGGCATTGGCGCTTTGCCAGTCCAACCAAGAGGTTTCTTGGGTGTCGACGAAGTCTTGTCTCCGACGACGTATGCTTCCATCGAAGGGAGGGTCGAGCGGTCGTTCACGCTTGTTGAGGGCCAGCGCTCACACCGTGGCTCCGTGTCTCTAGCGGTTTTCTCAATCCAGACCATCCATGTGTGGAATATATAGTTGCCTACCTTGGGGTCATATATGGGGTCAATGTAACTATTCCAGTCCCGTGGATGGTCTGTACCCAGGAGTCCTTCGAAGTCCTTTCAATGGACATGGATGTTGGAAATGGAGACAGGCTGAAGTTCTTGGGTGGAGGGTGGCAGATCTCTTCTAGAAGCATGGTCATGTGGATAGGCTACATTTTCCTACCAACCTCAGATCGCCTTTCCCAAAAATGTTGTAACTTTTTGGAGGCCAAGTGCAGGATAACTACAGGGTCCAAGAATTACGGGCTGACGACATTTAAGGCTCAGCAGCAGTTTGCAACTCGGTACGAGGTTTTTTTCGCCCGAGGAATTGCCTTGCCTTGCAGCGCACTGGTTCATGGCTGGTGAGCTCCTGATTGTGGTAAAGAATACATTTATCGATATTGAGCCGGAGGACACGTGACACGTTTGTAGTGGATCGCAGGCCGTGGGATAACTGCCTTCTGTTCAAGCTCGTTACAAGAATACTCTGCACACCGTCGGACCGTTCCATTTACGTCAATCTTTCCTCCCTGCACCTCATGATATCAGACATTTGTGCTGGGGCAACCAGGGGAACGCATCTTAATTATTCCGAGTTTAAAAGCCTTCAATGTAGCAGTTATGCGACCAGCTTTTAACCGTTTAACCTCCCAGACATCAAGTGTTACTGCAGACGCTTAAGTTGAAGTGGTCGCACTGCTCTTGTACGTGCCAGTTCAGCAAAGTGGCAGGATGCTTCGTCCTTCTATTGTTCAGACCTCTGATTCTATGGTTGGGTTCGGACAAGCTTGACACGTGCATGGATCATGACATGATTCAGGGAGTCCTCCGCAGACCTCACCGCTCGCAGGAGAAGTCGCTGCGGTGGAATCGCTCTTGGTCTTGTGGCGACCAGCGGCTGCCCATTGACCAGACTTTTGCTTCATCGACTCTGTGCGCACCTTTCGGAAGGGATGAATGCTCTCCTGACCTGGAGGGCCTGGAGGGCACCGAGGGCGCAAGCCTAGGAGGTTCGGTTGAACAGACCGACACCCCAGGCAGTGCAGATGAAGCTCAAGAGAACCCGACAGTGGGTGCTACCTTGAGTTTGGCAAAACACAACTCAGGGGAGTGTAGCCCATGTGTGTTTTTTGCCAGCATGTATGGATGTAATTCGATGACTTGTGAGTTTTGCCATTTGAGCCATCGTGACGCCGGCAAGCGTCCACGGCCGCGCAAGCAAGCTCGAGATACTTACAAGGAGATGCTACGAGGTATTTTTGAGAAGAAACAGGACCGACATTCGTGACATTGATGCCATCGCAGATCTTTTGCTGTAAAATAGCTGGAAGGGTGTGGAGGCCCAAGCATCTAGGATTACTCTTTCAGACACTATACATGAATCAGTGAATCACGAGAACAAGAGAGCGGTGTATATATATATATATATTGTATTTAAAGGCTTACGCCTAACAGCCGGGCGCCGGCCCACTTGGGTCTGTGTAGGGCTGGGTCGGGTGCACGTTAAGCTATCGGGGGCGTACTGGGCCCTGGGTGGTGCCAAGGTGCGAAACTGGTCCGCGTCGGAGATGGGGGCCCTATATTGAGCAAAGTTAAGCTATCTGGTGCGCATCTTGGCCCTAGGTTGGGCCAAGTTGGGCCCATGTGATCTATGTTGGGCACATCTTGGGCCCATGTTGAGCCTATGTTGAGCCTATGTCGGCCTATGTTAGGCCTATGTTGGCATATGTTTGCCCAGGTTGGGCCTATGTTGGCCCCATGTTGGCCCTATGTTGAGCCATCTTGGAGGCTATGTTGGGCATATGTTGGGGATATGTTGGCTATCTTGGGCCTATGTTGAGGATATGTTAGGAAATGTAAGTCGTCTGGAGGGCCTCTACCCACAAAATGTCGATTAAGCCTGTCCGCCCGGCGCGCATTACCGACACCACCCTTGAAAAGCACAGCATTTTTGCATTTTTCCCTTTTCCCCCCGTCGTACTTCGATATGCGCAATAAACCCTGTAAAACAGTGTTTTTTATACCTCACACACACGATACACTGTAAATTACAGGGGCTTCAGTGACCCGGTGGTCCCCCCGTTTTGGTGACGAGGGTCGGCGGCAGCCGGCGCGACCGTCTATAACCTTCGGTTACCACCGAAGGCCCTCCGGGCAGGGCACGGGCTTCGTGGCCGGCGCCCGGATTTACCAGGCTACCGCCTGCAGCCGCCGACCCCCAAGGGATAGAACCTTAGCGCTAGCCTTGCTCTATGTTAGCCTTAGCCTTAAGCCTTAGCCTTAGCCTTAAGAGTGCAGACCCAACCCAGCACCACCAAAGCAGGTACCCAAAAAGTC